ACAGATTTTGTATTTGCTAAATAAAAAAAAGAAATTGAATAAAACTGAATAAACAACTGAAAATAAAATGAAATGAATAAATAAATAAATAAATAAATGAATAATAAATAAAAAAGTAAATAAATAAAGGTATATAACAAATTAACCCAATGCCAGAGAGCATGGCATGTGCGTACATGCCATGCCCACTGTGAGTTTAATTTATTAATTGTTTTTACACATAGATGGCTATATTTGTACTAAGTCACCAATGAGCCAGTTACGAGTATTGCCTGCCTCCCCCATTTACCCTTTTCCTTGATTTACAGAGATATTTTACATTATTTTATTTTGTTGTTACTAATAAGTACTATGAAACTTTATATTAATTATAATGTCTATAATAAAAATAATATCACTGATATTCAGAGTATTAGCAAGAAATATGTTTTACCCACCAATTCAAGGAAAGGTGAAATTAGGTAAGGTTACAAGGTCTACTAATTGACTCCTTTGTGGCTAAGCACTAGCAGAGCCATCTATGTGCAGACATTTCACAAAAAAAATATAAAATGAGCACAGCATTTTCCTGGCGGCATGTGGTTAAGAATCAAAATATCAGCAAAATATTAAGAGAGCACAAATTTGAAAATCCCTTTTCATTTATTGATAGCCCACTTCCACATTGTAAACTGTAATGATGGGTTAATAGATACAGAGGTACATGCAAATGGATAAAGAGGAATCATGTCTTTTTTTTTTTCTTTTTTCTTTAGTATCTTAATAATACCCACCACTATCTAAAATATGAGAGGGAATGAGAAAAAAAAAAAAAATACAACAAAAAGACAAGGACACAAAAAATAAAGGAACAAGGCAATAACCACGAGAACAGCAGGTCAAATAGCGAACATATAGGCTATTACACTCTAATCTAACTCATTTTACTTACCGTGATTCAAATCTTTAACTGTACCAAATTCTTCATTCTATGAATTGCAAATCAAACCTTCAGTAGTTACTAGCCTGTGTACATCTTTTCACAGTCTTGTAACCAATCACTTGTCTGCAAAATTTTACCAGATTCATGCTTTCAAAAAGAACAACCTGATAAATATGGGCAAAACACAAGGAAGATGCTTCACATCCTCCAACCTCTGATGCTAAAAGTGAGCCATTCTTTTGTAATTGAGCACACACTAAAGCTTCTTCAAAAAATAATATTTTACATTTTCTCCATAATACCAATTCATCTAGAACTACCACCATAATATATAAGATGCACAGACATATGTTTAGCATTACAATCAAATCCCAAATTAACCAATAATATATCAGTATTCAAGCTGCCACAAACTAACACTCACTATATTTTCATACAATAGCACAAACTTTTGAGCAATTGGGAATCTACATAAATAGCAGGCATGCAAAATAATATTAATAATAATTAAAAAATAATAATAATAAAAATATAAAGTAAATTAATAAAAAAAAAAAAATACTTTATCTCACTAATTCATTTCCAACTCCAAAAGCACTTTACAGTATATCAAATGCATAAATAAATAGCCCATAATGAAATAAACTCATAAAGGATATAAACAGCACTTGCAATAAAAAAGTATAGAGCGATTGAGGAACAAAGGAGGAGGAGGAGGGGAGGAAAATGAAGGAGGAGAAAAAAGAAGGAGGAGGAGGAGGAGGAGGAGGAGGAGGAGGAAGAGGAAGAATAGGGGGAGGAGGAGGAGGAGGAGGAAGAGGAAGAATAGGGGGAGGGGGAGGGGAGGGGGAGAAGGAGGAGGAAGAACAGGAGGAGGAGGAGGAGGAGGAAGAACAGGAGGAGGAGGAGGAGGAGGAGGAGGAGGAAGAACAGGAGGAGGAGGAGGAGGAGGAGGAGGAAGAACAGGAGGAGGAGGAGGAGGAGGAGGAGGAGGAAGAACAGGAGGAGGAGGAGGAGGAAGAACATGAGGAGGAGGAGGGGAGAGAGAAAGAAAGAAAGAAAGAAAGAAAGAAAGAGAGAGGAAAAAAAGAGAGAAAGAGTGATAGTGAGAGTGATAGTGATAGTGATAGTGAGAGTGAGTGAGAGTGAGAGTGAGAGTGAGAGTGAGAGTGAGAGTGAGAGTGAGAGTGAGAGTGAGAGTGAGAGTGAGAGTGAGAGTGAGAGAGAGAGAGAGAGAGAGAGAGAGAGAGAGAGAGAGAGAGAGAGAGACAAATACAAATTGGATTCAAAAGAAAAAAAAAGAGAGGAAAAAGTTGATTATAATAATAATAATAATAATAATATCAAATGATAATCATAGTAGAATGAAGAAAGAAAGAAAAAGAGGGAAAAAGAGAAGCATAGGGAAATTAGCTATGCATTACCCAGACTTAGGGATTGCTTACCTCTATCTCTTTCATAGCCTCTATCCCTGTCATAGCCTCTGTCCCTGTCAAACCCTCTGTCTCCGTATCTGTCCCTGAACCCTGTGCCACAATAAAGACATAACTGGCTGATATCCATGTTATGTTTAAAGGT